TAACTATATACAAGGTTTTGGAATTGGGAAAATTAAGTATTTAAATTAATGCATTCTGGTTGTTTTGCTAATTAAAGTAAGGTGTGAATTGACTGCATACACAAACTGCAAGTTCAGTTTGTGCTGGTGGAAAGCAGAAGATGCCCAACTTTCCCAGTGAAAGAGGAAAGTAAGGAACAACAAAGAAAAGGAAGGAGTGCGAGTGACAAGAGTACATCAAATTCTCAGACAGGCAACACTGGAGCCACAGCTCTCTCTAACAGACAACTGCTGTCTGCACACTCAGTGCTTCATCTGACAACTTGAAGTTTCAGTGTTTGGTCCCTCATCCACAAAGTGTCTTTCACTGGGTATCAGAAAAAACCTGGAAGAAATCAGGTTCAGTTACATGAACTCAGAAGGTCTGAAGGCATATATCCCAACAACGCAGTTCAACGCATGGGGCAGCAACTCCACGACAGCTGCAGTGCCTCCCCGTTCAGAGACAAAACTTCTTTTGATGAAGACGATACCAATGAAGGATAAGTCACAAACCCCACGGCAGGTGTGTTCGCTGTATTTTAGATTCAAGTCCCTAATGAGCAAAGTGTTCAAAAGGGAACACCTAATCGGTAAACAGCATCTAGTTCCTTCAGCGAGGAACTACCCTACAATTTATCACTCTGTGGAATTATGACCTAGTGCATATTGTCAAGATGTGCTCTGAGCCAAACTTCCCTCTGCCTGTTGCCTGTGTACATCAGAATCTGTCCTACACAGACATGTGAAGTAGCCAAACAGTAGGCATGAAATATTTTGGCACGAGACTACGCATAAACATTCAGCAACTCAGATGATAACCCTCAGGTAGCAGGACTGTTTCCTCTAGAACTGACAAAAATAATTAAAAACAGACAGGTACCTGAGAAAGCTGGATGTGACAGCTGTCCTTTTATTATGTTGTTTTATTATGCTGTAAGTCCCAGTCCATGTCACAGAGAGAAGTGTTTTATAATAATCCATATTATTTTTATATTTTTATTTCAAACTGTGAAATGATGGAATGCTTCAAATCCATCCCCTTCCAACTAAATCATAATAAAAATGAGGATAACACAGCCTCTCTTGAATTTGCTAGAGGGTATTTATTTTTACAGCCATACTATAAGGTTTTAAAGAAAGCAGGAGTTGAAAAAGTTCAAAGCAACCCTGGCCTGAATTTTCCAGCACAGATGCCTAGAGAGAGGCACTTAAGATGCATATTTAGGTACTACTAAAATGTTACTGCCTACTAACATAAAAAAATAAAGTTAGTAAATAAACTGCACCATCTGTACACTACAACCACTGCCACGTTATCTTATCAGGAGAGAATTTATATCTTCTTTTAATTTGAAGTTACTACTTCTAAAGCAGAATTATTTTTGTAAACAATTTCACCATTCAGTATGATAGTTCTCAGCCCCTTCTACTTCTGCCTCAGCATCCTCCACCGCTTTTTTTCCATCCAAATGCTCTACTCTAGCTGGAGTGCATAAACTTTACTGCCACTGTGCTCAGAAGACAGAAGTTCAGTTTATTCCTTTTCTACCAGATCAGACTATTTACTCCCCACCTCAATTTCCAGCAGACCATTCCAATACATTTTTTGTGATTTGCTTCTTTGATATTTTCAACTTTTGGCAGCAGGAAAATGTTGCAAAAGCAATGCCCTGTCTTCCACCTTTTACCTTTGGGCTTATTAAACTGCAACAGGACAAACAGCAGTTTTCCCCCTATTTAACTGGTCTGTTAATAGATGTGCCTCTTCCCTTCCGACATCACAAGGTTACCCTTGGTATGAGTCAGGTTAGGTCAAAGACACAGGGAAAATTAGTAAAGGTATTTTTCCCTGATTTTTTTCCCCTTTTCTATTTTTAATTTATTTTCCCTGATGACAGAATAAGAACATAGCTGTTAAAATAAAACTGCAATGTGCAAGACAGAAAGAAATATCTGAAGAAACTCTAAGTACTGTAACTCCGTCAAACTCCTTGGTGTAGAATGCCACCGAGTCCACCTCTGAAATATTTAAATAAGGTTGAGAAGAGCTCTTAAAATAAACAGAACGTGTGTGGAAATGCAAGGTAAACCAACAGGATTCAGAACAAAGATGTTGGGAAGAAACAACAAATTATATTCATACCTCAACAACAGGGCACGAAAGATCAAGAATGAGAATTCTGGAAGCTATATAAAAGAGGCCAGGAGGAAGCAATTTCACTAGCAATACAAAACTGGTCTGGAAGTCACAGTGGTTCTCCCACTCCTTTGAAAGGATCTAGTATGAGACACAGAAGAAGAAAAGTACGGGTCTAAACAAACCAATAATTTTTCCTGTTTTTTAAGTTCATTCCTGGTACTGCTGTCTAAGCTATGGCACAAATTATTCTGAGAGGTCTAATTTTAAA